ACTCCACAGCTATCCAGCTGTCTGTCTCCAAGCTGTCTTCACACATAAGCATACTTCAGTCCTTTCATGGCTGCTATGCCGTTGTAATAGAATCCAAGCGCGCTGCAAGCCTCTCTTCTTATAATTTGTCATTGAAATAAATGCCGACAAGATATATTCATGTTGCAGACACTTATTATGCACCCTCACATTATAAATCTAAGGAAGGTAATTATGGTTTTTTGAACTAAATTTTGATTGAAAAAGTAAACTTTGAAAGACTGTTCAGGATATTATTGTTAGCACATTAAATTATCTTTTAATTCTATTTAAAACCTCTCTTCTACCAAGAGGTGCCTCAGAAGAAAGGCCTAGTGTTCTGCTTCTGAAAAATCAGCCGTTGAAAACTGTATAGAGCACAGTTCATACACACATGAGGTCACCATGAGTCAGAATCCACTTGCTGGCAACTGGTTTCCCTCAGCTAAGTATCAACACATTTAAGTTTGCATCTACTTTTAAATGCAGTCAGAAGTAAGTCTGTTATTATTTAATTGTTTTTAACACATCTCCGTTTTGAAACTAGATATCTTTTCTCCTTCTTTGCCCTGGACACACCCAGATACTTCAGCTCAAACAAAATCACCCATTTCTATTAAAAACATGCCAGAATCTGTCAGCTATGTGGTACTTTAAATAAAAAAAAAAAAACACCCAAACCCGTTGCTGTTGAATCGATTCTGATTCAGAGTGACCCTATAGGACAGAGTAGAATTGACCCACAGGATTTCCAAGGCTGTAAATTTTTATGGAAGTAGACTACCACATCTTCCTTCCGATGCGGCTGGTGGGTTTGAACCACCAACCTTTCAGTTAGCTGCCAAACTCTTAACCACTAGGCCACCACAGGGCTCCTATGTGGTACCTTACACTGTTTCAAATCTGCAGCAACATTCTTCCAGCTTTTTGTCAATCACTTTATTCAAATAACCTACCTGTTGTAGCTGAGCTGCAATACCCAAGGAAGTTTCATTATAGAAACACAATGCGACCAGGAAGCAGTAATCCAGGGGAACTGGTGTGTTTCCTTTCTTGTAGTGACTAAAATTCCCCTGGGCAAATGTAACTGGACTGGGAACTACTGCCTGAGAGTTGATGGCTTCTTTCCTTCCGAACCTTTCTTTTTCCCGAAGCAGTGGAAGGTGGTGGTGAATTTATAGCAGCAGAGAGTAGACTTTTTATTGTTGTTAGTTGTGCTCGAGTTGATTCTAACTTTTGGCCACCTCATGTGTGTCAGAGTAGAACTATGCTTCGTGGGGTTTTCAGGGGCTGATTTTTCAGAAGTAGATCATCAGAACTTTCTTCCGAGGCACCTCTGGATGGGTACGTATCGCCAATCTTTTGGCTGGTAATCAAGTGCTTAACCATTTGGGTCACCCAGGGACTCTGGCCAGTCAGACTACCTGAGTTCAAACCCTTGCTGGGCCATTCCATGCCATGTGACCTTAGGCGAGTTGCTTAATCTATCTAGGCTTCAGTTTCTCTATCTGTAAAATGAAGATAATAATAATTCCCACCTTGTAGCATTGTTGTGAGGATTCAATAAGTTAGTATTTGTGCTTAGCACAGCACTGGAAACATATTGTAGGAGCTAGAGATGTGTTAGCTAGTGTTACTGCACCTTTGAAAAAACAGCATCATAGGAAACTCTTGAAAACTTAAGTAATTTTTAAGGGGAAGAGTGTTCCCCTATGGTCAAGACCACCAAAAAAATTAAAAAGAGGGGGACAAACTTGATGTAATTTTGCATTTTAGGCACGTTGTAACCAAAACGAAAACTTCAGGCCATGTTTTTCAAAGACAGAAGGTCAACTTGTTCTTGTCTTATGGTTTGATCTTACCCAAAACCAAGCCAAACCCATTGCAGTCAAGTCAATTTCGACTCATAGTGACCTTTTAGGACAGAGAAGAACTTCCCCATAGGGTTTCCAAGGAGCAGCTGGTCTATTCGAACTGCTGACCTTTTGGTTAGCAGCCAAGCTTTTAACCACTGTGCCACCAGGGCTCCAGTTTGATCTTAGGAGGACCATAAACAAGGTCACAATCATGGACTTTGAACACTAAGTCAGGTGAGCTAACTTTTAACTTCTTCCACATAGTCACAAAGCTACAGAAAACATTTATTAGTAATTTATTTTAAAGACAACAGCCTATTTGGCAAACATTGTCTGTGGAATAAAATTCTAAATATTAAAAATGTATTGAACTATGATTTTATGGTTAATTTTTTAAATTCAAATAAAGATTATTATTATGGTTACTTCTGTGAGGTTTAGTTAATTTTTACTTTTCCCCACACTATAATCTTATTTAAGGCAGTTTCAAATTATTTCATCAATCTTGGTCTTTGCTTTTTAATTTATAAAGTGGAATTTACTTGTTCATTGGTGTGAGTAATTTTCAGTGTCTTGCCAAGCAGCCTGTGGCAACTGAAAATACAAGTTGCATATATTAGGCCTTTCTGTTTGAGCAGAAGGCAACAGAAACAGATTAAGCTGCAGACCCAACTTCTTTTAACTGCAGGCACTCATAAACTTAATTCAAAAATACTTCCTTTCTATAATTAAAAAAACAAATTTGACCTACATATCTGGGAAGCGAGAAGTAGAGTAAAGCATGTCTTATGGCTATAAAACTCTTCAGCTTCATTTTATTGTTATTTTATCTCCTCAATCCAAATGCTTTAGGTATCATTCAGCCCATCTTGTACCAGGCCTTCATATATTACAAGCTCAACACTATTTGTAGACCCAATTTATTATTCTTACGTATAAAATGGACTTTAAAGCTCAGTATGATGAAAACTCTCGTGAGCTTCCTAGAGTGTTGTGGCACCTCTCCAGTACCTAGAACTTTCATGGTGGCCTCAAGGTGTTAAAGGTGTACTGTCAGACATTGATATCCTTCAGCCTGAGGGACAGCTGACAAGGTCCTGGAGGCCACAGGCTAGTGAGCTCCAGCTGAGAGTAGCTTTCTCTAGAGTTCCTGGCTGACCAAAGAGGAGCAGGATCTGGCATGTGCTGGGGTGTCCTCAGTCAGAGGCAATAGCTGGCTCTGCTAAGCAGTGCTGAGTGAGGCCAGTAAGGTGCCTGACCCTTTGGACAGTTGCTTTGGCTGCCTGCTGCAGAGCACACAACATTGATAAGGGGGCTAAAGGAAGTGCAGGAGGGGTTTGCATGGCAGGAGCCCAAGAAACTCCACAGCTATCCAGCTGTCTGTCTCCAAGCTGTCTTCACACATAAGCATACTTCAGTCCTTTCATGGCTGCTATGCCGTTGTAATGGAATCCAAGCGCGCTGCAGGCCTCCCTTCACAATGCATGCCCAATGCATTGGCAAACCAGAGCTTCAGCATATTGCTATGAAAAAGTTTGATTGCATTTGAAATCCATTGTCATCATCACAAGAAAATTCAGTGTTAAATTGTCAAAGACAGAAAAGAAAGATTGTTTTGTTTCTTTAAACATAATTTCCAACTACGGTAAAATTTTCAACGGGTGTAAAAATTTTTTACACTTTTATATGTTACTTGTTCTTAGTGATGGTGACTATCCAGAGTTTGAAGTGATTAATGTCAAAAGTTTATCTGTAATTATAATTTTAAACAAAGTTTTGTTTTAAATTACCTTACCAGTTGCCAACGCGTTGATTCTAACTCATGGGAAGCCCATGTGTGTCAGAGTTGAACAGTGCTCCATTAGGTTTTCAGTGGCTGATTTTTCAGAAGTTGATCACCAGAACTTTCTCTAAGGCATCTCTGGGTGAACTTAAACCCACAATCTTTTGGTCAACCTTTCCACCACCCAAACCAAACTCATTGCTGTCCAGTCGATTCCAACTCATAGCAACCCTATAGGACACAGTAGAACCGCCCCATAGAGTTTCCAAGGAGTGCCTGGTAGATCCTAACTGCTGACCTTTTGGTTAGCAGCCCTAGCTCTTAACCACTTTGCCAACAGGGTTTCCTTCCACCACCCAAGGGCTCCTAAAACCTTGCATAGAAAAGCTAAATTTATGGAAACAAACTCAAATTTCTCATTAACATTTTTGAAATGATTGTATGTGGAATTTTATGCAAATTTAATATTTAATCACATACTATTTTTCTATTTTATTTTGTTATAATTATGTTATAAGAAAAAAATTGTACTTAATTTTTTTTTTTTTTTTGGTAAGCCCCACAAAGGCTTACCGTTTACTCGGTGCCATGACTGTGAAAAGTTTTGGAAAGCACCATCCATTAGGGTATTTCAGTGATTTACGTTGCTTGCAAGGTTCTCTGCAGTGCTTGCAGAACTGGGCATGAGGACTTTGCTGCAGACTCCCAGTGGTATGCAGACCATTCATTTCCAAAGGAACTCGGTCCCTTCCTCCGTCTGTGAAATACTACAATAACAACATCTGACGATCCCATCCAATAGGAGCATGTATAATGTGTTTTACACTCCACTGGAAAAGCTATCCACCAAGAGGCTAATTCCTGCACGTTCACCCTCCCTGACAACGGCTTACGACAAACCAGATCCCAAGTGTCCTTCTCAGGTTTTCTCTACTAAGACTTCAGAGATTTCCTTCTTCCAGATTGTGGAGCAGGCCCTGAGTAATTTGTAGGGGCTGGTCTGAAGTAGCCTCCTATTCGGGTTCTCTGGACGATTTCGACGCGCGCCGCGCCTGGGTCTCCAGGCTCGTGAGGAAGCCTTCTGCGCGGTGCCAGGCGCTGGGGATTTGTCAGGTGGGCCCATGACCATCTTCTTGTGCCTTTTCTGCAGATGCCGCAGGAGATAAAGGCCAAAACCCGTGGTCGGCGTCCCTGCGAGGCGGAGCTGGCGCTCCCTGACTTCTCCCACTCACCATCGTGGTTCTGCGCCCTAGGGGTGCGGCAGCAGAGAAAACTTGACCGGCGCCCCAGACTAGGGGGCGGGGAGCCGCTGACACCTGGACACTCCGACAGAAGTCCGCTGCCTTTCTGCACCTCCCCCAGCCTCTGCTGGGAGTGTTTATCTTTTCGCCTCAGCTTTGCGCTCTTTCCTCTTTCACTTTTCTTTTTACTGTGGGTGGGGACTCCCTAGGCTCAGGGTACTCAGGGAACCCCAGCAGACTTGCTCGCAGCCGTCGAAGCCCGACGCCACAGGAAGGGAGCCTGGTGGCCGCGTCCGCCTGGCTGCGCCGGCTGCCTCCCGCTACGCTGCACCCCGCACTTAACGGAGGTACGCAGTTCGGCTTCTTTGCTTTGGGATGGGAAGTGGTGATGGCTTGAGAGGGCGACGGAATTTTCCCCGAAAGCCTCCGTCCGGAGCCCCGAGCCCATCCCAGTTCCTGCGGGACCCTCCCGTCTCCCGCGGCCGGCTGCTGGCCAGGCCGCCCCGCCTCCTATATGCAACATTTGGTCACGACTTAAGTTTTGGGTTGCGATACGTGCAAAGGTTTTTCCCCTTCTGACCCTTTATTACTCGCCATCCTCCTGCTACTGGAGTAGCACAGATTGCTTGGTCCCGCAAGCGCGGCTCCCGGCGCCGAGCACGGCGGTGCGCTCCGCTCTTTCGGTATTCCTGGCTGCGGGGAGCAGGAGGCAGCTCCCGGAACGCGGCGCGCCGCTGGCTCCAGGGAGGGCAGGCGGGGGGTGGAGGGACTTGCGGACGGCTGTCACCTCCAAGCTGCTGGCTTCAGAGAAGACGCAGTCTGGCCGCACAGTGCGCTGCGTTCTGCACCTAATGGAGCTCAGGAAGTTCCAGAAAAGTATCACAGGTATTCCTTGCCCTTTCCCTAACTCCTTGCTGAGCAGTGTGTGTGCGCGGGCCGCCTTTTTTCTCTACCTTCGTTTGCAAAATCAAATTACTCCCTCTCTTCTTTGACCAGGATACTTGTCTTCCTAGAGAGATAAATTTGCAGAAATGATCACTGCTTGACAGTCAGGCCTGGGTCTCTATTATTAGTCCTGACTCTGGAAAAGCCATTTATCTCTTAGAAGAGCAGTATTTGGAATGCTAGAGCAACTTGGAAGAAACGCAGACTATTTGTATTGAGATACAATCCTTCCTGAAGGTGGCTTTAAATGCAAACTCAGCTAACTTTCTCAAGTGTTGAGACTACATGTTGCAAGGGTGTACCATTGAACTAGATACTTCCATGCACTTAAAATTACATTGACTGCAAAGTATGTATAAATCAAAGTTATTCCTTCTTAAAAAAATAATATTTATTATGTTTTAGTTGAAAGTTTACACAGGAAATTAGGTTCCTGTTTAATAATTTTTATACATGTTGTTCCATGTCATTGGTTAAAATTTTTACAATGTGTCAGTATTCTCATTTCCATTCTATTTGTTCTGTTTCCATCGATCTAGCTTCCCTGCTCCTCCTTGCCTTGTCATCTTTGCTTTTGGGTAAATGTAGTTAATTGTTTAAAGGAGCACGTTATTCACTGGTGATTTTAGTTATTTTATAAGCCAATCTATTATTTGGCTGAAAGGTAACCTATAGAAATAGTTCACATCCAAGTTCAAAGTTTATCTTAGGGAAATAGTCTCAGAATTTCCTCTGGTCTACGGGTCCAGTAGGTCTGGTCTTTTTTAGAAATTTGAGTTTTGTTCTACATTTTTCTCCCATTCTATCCAAGACCTTCTATTGTATCCCTGGTCGGAATGGTTGGTAGTGGTAGCCAGGCACCATCTAGTTCTTCTGGTTTCTGATTAGAGGATCCAAACTGTTTTAAAACTTGGAAGACTGACCTTTTCTTTCTCTCTTTGTTAGAGTTTAATGTTGTTTTGCCCATTATATAAATATTCTTTCAAAGGTTAGTTAATGATAAAGAAAAAAGAGAGAGAGAGAGAGTATTGTCCGTCGGCCAGCAACTTGAAGTACGGAAAGTGATACCAACAATAGCTAACACTTCACTGAGTTCTAAGACATTGTTACACGTATGTGTATTTTCTTTAACCATCATAATAAATTTTGTGGCAGGGATTATGTCTTATACTTGAGTAAATTGAAACATATGGTGATTAAATAAGTTGTGCAAGGTTACAGTACTAGAAAATGGTAGAGCTGAGATTCAAACCAAGACTGGTTTAAGATCGCTGGTATTAATGAAGGATGATATTATTTCTGTAGAAGTGTTTCCCACAATTTGACAATGACAATCATTACTTCATTTTGATGCAAAGTACTGTGATAGAATGTTAGCTTTAAAGTAATGTTTATATGGTACTTAGGTGATTGACAATATTAATTATATACTTAAAATTTATCTTTATAATCAAATAATATTCACGACTGTCTATATGTATTTGACTCCTTGGTGAAATTTCTCTTATGATCTCTGGATTAAAACAGGTGTCTAATTTGCATCAAGGTTGCTGATAGAACTTGACAAACAGTAGGCAAATATGAATTGATTTCTATGTCAGTCTTTCTGTCTACCCAGCCAGCCAGCCAGCCAGCCAGACAAGTAGAAGGCTGGGATTGATGGAGAGATCAGGACAAAAGAAGACTTCTCCAGTATATGGAGGTGGTATAGTCAACTATTTGGGAGGTCCCTTTTTCCAAAAGCTTTATGGTGGAGGGCTGGCAAGAAGCCAACTTCTTTCTCTGTCTCAGTATTAGCTCTTAAATTTATTTACTCAGTGATTACAGTGACTACATGAGAATATTGATGTTCAACATTGCTTAAATGCTTACTGCTATACTCCTTGAATGGGTTGGATGGAAAAATTCCATAGGGGAGTAGAGAGAACATTTATGATGTTAACTAGTACTGGAATACATTCACTAATAACCATTTAATGGGGAATGGTAAAAACTGTTATCAATTACATGTCTGTGTGTACATATATACACATATATAAAGGAGCCTTGGTGGTGCAGCAGTTAAGCACTCTCCTGCTAACTGACAGGTTGATGGTTCGAATCTATCAATGACTCTATAGGAGAAAAGACCTGGCAATCTGCTTCTGTAAAGATTACAGGCTAGGAAACCCTATGGGGCAGTTCTACTGTGTCACATGGGGTCACTATGAGTTGAAAATTGACTCAATAGCATGCAGTAACAGCATACATATATATATATAAATACACACATATATGTGTGTGTGCGTGTGTGTATTTTTTTCTCTATGGTAATTCCAGAATTATGTACCACTTGTCAACAGCTGTGGACAGATACAAGGGCTATTTTTATTTGGTTTCCAGATTTTGTATTGAATAGGGAAATTGGAATAGTCAAGAAATCTTGACAGAAAGACCGAAGTACAAATCATGGTTATTAACAGTATCACTTCAGTAGAAACCTAATGTGATTTGAAAGTTACAAAAAGAAAGTCGCCACTGTGTTCCCAGCCCCTTACTGGCCCTTTCACCTGCGTGACCTCATTTAATTCTAATAACCATTGTATTTTTATCCTCACTTTGCAAATAAAGGCATTGCATGCACAGAGCTTCTCTTGGATTAGGATACAACTAGTGAGACACTTGCGTGAGATTATCTTGCTTTATCTTGATTTCAAAGTTGATGCTTTTAAAAAAAATCTTGTGATTTATTTCATGGGAAAAGTCAGGTGTTCGGTAAAAGGAAAAAATAATGCCCACGTTTTTGCCTTAAAATAGAGGCTGGCCACCATTTGAGGTGATCGAATGCCATGTATTACTTTGCTTTATGACAGAGCATACGATCTTTTTTAAAAAAAGTTACTCAGTACTTGAATCAAAACAGGAAATAAGAGGCTTTGATCTCAGTTCAATTCAGCAATATTATTTATTCACATTTTATGTCTAGAGGAAGATATTTATATGCATATATTTTCCAATGTTTTATCCCACTACAAGTCTAGTGGTGTCATGTGGGTGGTGTATAGAGGAGAAGAGGACTGTATATACCAGTACCAGTTGCTGTCAAGTTGACTCCGACTCATGGTGACCCCACATGTGTGAAAGTTGAACTGTGTTACATAGGATTTTCAAAGGCTGATTTTTAGGAAGTAGGTCACCAAGCCTTTCTTCTGAGACTTCTCTAGGTGGACTCGAACTGCCAACCTTTCAGTTAGCAGCCAAGACTATATATAGATCATATAAAAACGGACAAAATAGTTTGCACGCCTTTTAGCCAACAGTGTTCTAACGATGTGTAGTTTTTCTTCTCTGAATGCTAATGGTTCCTCCCAGTACTGACAAAATACAGAGAAGACCAGGGAGAGTGACAAATTATTTTATCAAATGAAGGGGTTGAAACTGAAAACGGTCCTAGAAGAGGAAAAACTGATAGTTGTAAGGTTGGTGGGGGAGAAGCTCTGTTTAGAATTATGACACGTGAAAGCAGCCCAAAGAGGCCAGAGCTCCCTGCAGCATTGAGTTATACTTCTCCTTGGTGGACATTTTGCTCATACACCTTAGAACTAAAATTTGGAAAGCTAAATACCCTTTGTAATCTGTTAGCAATACCTCTAACATTTTCAAATAATTATCCTTTTAATTGAACATTTTATAGTCATACATTTTATATTTTTCCAATTTCTTTGCTCTCATTCTCTGTGACAAAATTAGATATATAAATTGAAATTTAATTTTTCAAAATAAAGATTGTAGTGCTATTCTGACTCATAGCAACCCTATAGGACAGAGTAGAACTGCTTCATAGGATTTCCAAGGTAGATTTGAACTGCCAGACTTTTGGTTAGCAGCTGAGCTCTTAACCACTGTGCCACCAGGGCTCCAAAAAATTATTTTAGGTTATGTTATTTAAAATATTATTACTACACAGTTAACTGTAATAACTAATTAACATTTGATAAGTAACAGTATTAAAACCTGTTGCCTTAGAGTTGAATTCCTACTCATAGCAACCCTAAAGGACAGAGCAAAACTGCCCCATAGGGTTTCCAAGGCTGTAAATCTTCACGGAAGCAGACTGCCACAACTTTCTCCCACAGAGCAGCTGGTGGGACCAAACTGCTACCTTTTGATTAGCAGCTGAGTGCTTAACCACTGCACCAGCAGGGCCCCTTAAGTGAGTATTAGGCATAAAAATAAAATTATATTGGAAATGCATATCATAGAAGTAGATATAAGTAGTGTTGACATTATTACTTTGATTAAAGAAGGTTTTTTTAATATCAGTATGTCAAATTGCTCCTTATTTTGACACCCTTGTGATTTTAAAATCTTGAGACCAGGAACATGGTAAGATTCTGTATAGGAGACAGATATGTGTTTCTTT